TCTCTCTCCCCTCGAGCCTCCCTCTTTCTCACCAATAGGGAGAAGCTGAAGAATGCTGTTTCACATTGTGCTCTGAAGTGGGGACTGAAGATATTCATCATAGAACTCTCGTGTAGCTGGCTTAAATTTGATTGCATATTTTGCAGGTGGACCAGATCTGGGCCTTGTTTCAGACAGAAATGATATACTGAATACACATTCTGCATAGGAATGTATTGTGGTCTTTTCATCTTTCCTCCCTCATTTTATTTGAAGATTTGTGGGCTCTCAGGGTCCAGAACTTGTACCAATGGAACAGGTATGAGCACAAGATGTGCACTCATTAGTACCGAAATGAACGCCTTTTTACTAAATTCTGTCTCGCGTTACAAACAATTGCTGGTCCTTGTGTTTTTCTAACACCTGGGACAACATTAGCTCTCCAGAGTAAAGGATAATGAATGCTATTTTTTATTTCATTTTCACATTTGAATTTCGTCTTCAGTGGAGAGAGCCTGTTTCTTGGCAGTTGGCAGCTCTAAAAACCTGTTTCTAGGATAGCCGCAGTTTCTATCTCCTCAAGAGACGTAGCTTTTCTCCAAGTTGATTCTTGATTGGAGAGGGCCTTTATTCTCTACGGACAGTTTGCCGTGATATCATTCCTCTCTAAACTTTCGGTCACTGGAATGTGTTTCAATGTCCACTAGTTTTGACATTTCTCTCTTAACACTTGGCATGTATGTGGGTAAAACATTGCGAAGCATAATATATTGGTGAAAATCTCCAACTGAAAATGAGTATCATGTGCCATTGCCTTCTCTCTCTGAGGTTGGTTGACCTGATAAATGTTGGAAGGTTGGACTGACAAATGATTAATTCATTGGTTTATGAACTTAGGTTACTCAGTCGCATTACTTGCCATTCTCCTTGAGAACTCAACCTACTCCAGCGTAGCACCTTTTAATTTCTCACCCGATCATTAGATGCCGCCAAATGGAGTCCTCTTTGCATGATCGCTTACCATTTTCAATTCACAGTTGGTGCTTTCGAGTGGGCATGGCAAACCCTCAAGGGAGGATGAGGAGCAACTTGCGTGAGTAGTCCTCATTTCTTCTTCAGTCTGAAACCTGATTACTTCATTTAATCTCAGTGTGTAGATCTTTGGATAGTTCATCTCTTTTCACGTTTTGTAAGTTAAGTGCGCAGAAAATGCTCCTGTAGAATATGAGAGTCCAACGCAGATAGTATAGAAGAGAATATGCGCAATTGTATATAGGTTGGTCATGAACGTCTTGTCAAATGCATTTTCTAGTTTTACACTTGAGAGTTGATAGAAGAGTCGTCCCGGGTAATGAACTTCTAATCAAGCCAAATTTGAGAAAGCCCATCCATAATCCTGTTTACTAGCAATAAGTAACTTTCTATGTGGTGTTGTTAGGATTTGGACATCATTGCCATGCCAGAGAACATTTGGGCTCAACTGACATTGTATATCGATTTATAGGTCTCGAAGTCGTAAGTTTGAGTTAGAGTGGACTGCAAAAATGTATGTGAAGGAATTCCAATAGTACTCTTGTAAGAATGACCAAAGTGGAGACAATATCAGTGGCATTCATTAAAAAAAATTGGGTTGAATGAAACGAAATTTTGTAGATATTTGTAGCGTAAGTTTCGTCGTATAGATGAGCGAATTACTACCCAAGTTGAAAATGTTTTATCGAGTGGCAGCAAGGCTCGGGTGGAGTTGTTTAATACAACACCAGGATTGGGATGTTGGGCATCTGATCACTAGTGTCGGAAAGCTAGGCTGTTCATTTAACAGCAACTAATACTATTTGAAACAAGATCTTCAATTGGTGAAATCAAATCGAGGCATTTGGTATAACTCTTGTTTATAATCGATATTGTTAATTATGAATCGCAACCCTAAACCGCGGCTATGCATTTCATTCATTACGTACTTCTCCAATTAAAGAAGTTTGTCTGGACCTTGTCGCCCGACATGTGATTGGGATGGTACAACCGAGACTTCAAGCGTCAATTTCAACTCAAAATCACTTATGGATTTTTGTATTGTACAGGTTTAGTGGATTTTCTTTTCTTTCTTTTCTTTCGGATGGCCAGCATACTTGGGTTTCCTCTTCAAATCAATTGATCATGTGATAAAATGTTCCACTTTAGTCTATTTTTGGGTAAGCTTTTGAACCTTGAATAATGAGGTGGGGTTAGTCACGTACTAAGCTGTTGAGCCTTCATGTCGCCTCTCATCACTTCGGATTCTGAAGAAGCTTACAAGGTAAGAGAAGAATATTTGCAGCTATGAGTAAAGAAGTGAGTATTTGCTCTTACCTTCGGAGGATTTATTAGCTAAGCTAGTTGTCAGAGCATCCAAAATAAGCAAGCTACAGAGCTACAATATAGGGAAAATTATCTAAAAAGTCATAAACCTATTGTACAGCGGCCAATTCAATCCTAAAATTTTCAGTTGTGCCAATTTAGTCATAAACATTTTGACAATTTGTCAATTTAGTCTTAAACCTTTTAATGATTTGCCAATGTAGTCTTCGGCGATTTTCGACCAAAATTACTTAGAATAACTACATTGGCAATTTGTTAAAAGCATTAGGACTAAATTGGCAATTTATTAAAAGGTTTAGGACTAAATTGGCACAGTTTCCGACCAAAAATGAATTGGCACAGTTGAAAAATTTAGGACTAAATTGACTGCTGTACAATAGGTTTATGTGAATAGTATATATAGATTCCTTCTCAACGATCAACTAGATCAGCATATCAATCCATTTACGTACTTTAGGCATGTTTTCCTCCAACCTAATTGAGAAGAAAGCCAATTCAAGACATTTCATTAATTTTTGTGACAACAATACTGTGTTTCAGTATACTTCGTACCTACCTATAGCCTTGTTTTACTTATGTACAGAAGGCCACATTTATATCCCTAGCCTATGTGATCTCATTCGAAAATTAACCTAGACCTAAGCCACGCATGGACCTGCAATAATTTTCCAATAAGGCTTATAGATTAACTTTCCCAACACCGCTCAATAGAACCTCTCAATTATTATGTTCGCATTTCCTCTGTCGCTGTGAAGAATTGCTCACAATAAAAGTAGATACGAAGGAAGTGATGGACATAACTAATCGCAACATATGACAAATTAACATTGTTGGAAACATGTTATGTTTTCCTTTTGTATGCCCCAAAATACATAACGATTTTCATATGCTACCCGGTTTGTGTAACCCAAATATATATAGTACAACGACAACCTACCTCCACCATCATTGATATAGGTAGTTTTATTCTAAAAATTCAACCAACTATCCAAATCAATGGTGATGGATGTGACTTGTGTACAAAAAAAAAATTGCACTGGCGGTGTATTTGAGATTAATCCATTATATAGGGGAAAATTGTCCAAAAAGTCGTAAACCTATCATACGGAGGCTGATTTAGTACTAAACTTTTCAATTATGCCAATTTAGTCATAAACCTTTCGAAACTTTGCCAATTTAATCATAGACCTTTTAATTGTGCCAATTTAGTCTTAAATCTTTTGATGATTTGCCAATTTAGTCCTAAATATTTTGACGATTAGCCAATGTAGTTTTTCTGGTCAAATATCCAAATAATAGATTTAAGATTAAATTGGATAATCGTCAATATGTTCAAGACTAAATTGACACAATTTGAAGGTTTATAACCAAATTGACTACCATACAATAAGTTTAAGAATTTTTGGATAATTATCCCCATTATATAGAGATTGATATTTTTTAAATATGTAATTGACTTGACCTAATAACAGAATGAGTCGACGCAATAATCTGTCGCCCATCATCATTGAAATTACTCCACAGGGTCCCTTCACAAACAATCATTCTTGTGGTCCATTCACCCATACAGGCAGACACACATACATGGCAGTAAATGCAGCCTCCAATTAAGTGCACAGATCCATGTATGGTGCATGCAATGCAAGGCAATGCATGGCATGCATGCGTGAGAACATACCCAATTCATCAAGTGGCTCATGGCTCTATACTGTCCACATCGTGGCATTATTTGACAGGGAGGGTCAAAATGTCGCCCCCCTCGTCCGCTGTAGAAAAAAAGCAGGTTTGATGAGGGCGTGTGTGGTCGCTCATACTTTGCTTCGCTTGAAGGGCATATATATGTCTATGCCTGGAAGAAAAGGGACATATATGTGCAAAAATACTCTCTTTTTTTTCCCTCACAAAAGAAGAAAATGAATTCAGTTTTATATGTACTCAAATTGACTTCACAAGCTATGTAAACATCTTGTCTGCAAAAAGAAAGGTACGCAGATCTTTTGATGTTTGGGCATGATTCAGTGATTAGCTTGTCTCAAGATCTGTTTTTTTTTTATTTTTCGTTAAATTCATACACAACCCATGTATAAAACATTGTTTAAAACCTAAGTTGCTGAGATAATACTGTCAAATAACAGAAGCTGCACCATCCAAAAAAACCAAATAGAAAATTATACTAAACACATGCCGACTAAATCGCGTACATCATTTCACTTTTTTCTGCTGTAGTTGAAAATTTCTATACTTACAGGCTGCTCTCAGAGATTGAGTATATAGATAGGATATCCATTCATAAAATATGACAGCTATTTTCTCCCGTCGGTACATATATAATATTGGTTGTGAATTTTTCACTAACGATGTTATATGATAAAAAAAACATTCAAGAAAAAAAATAAAAAGAAACAAGAAACTACACTAGGTGTCTACCTGGGGGGCGGTAAAGTTAACTAGTCTAGAAAAATGTATCAGAATCCAGAAGTAATTTAAGTTGGAAGGACATGATATCTATGGTAATGCATCCAAAACCTCTTCTCTTCCTCCTCTAGCCCTAACCCTGCCTAATATCTGAAAGCTCTCTCCCCCACTTTTTGCTCTCGCCCCCACTTTTTACTCTCTACCCAAACCCAGTTATCAATAAATCCCAACTTTTTTCCTGTTCTCCCTTTTCCCGGACCCCGGACCCAGCATTTCCTGCCTGCCATGGCCACTTCCCATCCCACCTTTTTATCATAGAATTTCATCTTTTCTCTCTCTCTCTCTCTCTCTCTCTCTCTCTCTCTTTCTCTCATTTGCCACTCCATTCGATCCTCTCGTTTTTCTGAAATATTTCCTCTATTTATACCACCCAGGACCATCTAGGTTTTGCTGTTGTGATACATCTCAACACCTCTCAGAAAGCAAGTCCTAACTCATCTTTCTTCTTCTTCTTCCTCTTCTTCTTCTTCTTCTTGTGCAATTGAGGAGCTTTCTTAACATTTTTGTGAGTGTAGAAATGGCAAGCTGCGTAGATATCGCATCCACTGAACAGCTCTGCTACATCCCTTGCAACTTTTGCAATATTGTGCTTGCGGTATTATCATCATCTCATCTCATCTCTCTCTGGGCTTATTGGTGGGGTTTCTGCTTTTTCACTTCTTTTTAAGTCTCACCCGAGCTCTGATTCATCCATTGCTTTGCAGTTTTTATTGCTTCTGTGTGTGTATGCAATGAGTCTAAGCACTAGCAGCTGGAAAAGGAAAAAGAAGCACAAGTTATTAGGTCCTGCAAAAATATTGAAGGGGAAAGAAAAAGGAAAAAAACATTGCACCTGTGTTATTTTATTTTGTCTATTTTTTAGATGAAAACCCCATCGATTTCGTCTTTGAGTCTTCCTTGTTTTTTGGTGCAGTCACGTCTCCATCGTCCGACTGTACCTTTCTTTTCTCAGTCAAATGGAAGTCATTTCTTAAGGTCCTATAGAGAGGGAGGGCTTGTTGGCTTGAGCTGTGTGTTGCTCCTGCAGTTAAACGGTTTTATTTTTAACGAAAAAAAAGATTTATGTGCGAAAATATTCAAGCGCACAGTGACAAACTGACGAAGACAACTCCTCCAACATCTTAATTTCTTAGCTCTGTGACTTGTCTTTCCTTTGCCAACACAGATCTGATGCACTCTTATTGAAGGCAGCTTCACACAGTTTGTTTTAGTATATGTTTTAGGTCACCGGAGGAAATTAAAAAAACAAAGGCTATTTCTCAAATCTTCCATCTACTTATTCCATGCCCATCAAAGCACCCTTTTCAAACAAAGCACCAAGCACCATGACCTAATTTTTTTAGGGTTTTCTCTGAACTGAACTCACCAAAACCAAATCGAGAAGAGAAGGGTTTCGGTCCACCTAGCCCCCTTTTATTGTCATTAAAAAAAGAAAAAACAGTATCTAATCAAACAGATCGCAACCAAAAAATAGTTATTCGTTTCCTGATCTGGGTTTTCTTCCTTAGTTCTTCTCTTTTTGGCAGTGATTAAGTTTCACTAGATAACATAGGTATTGATTGATCTTGTGATTTGCGGATATTATACAGGTGAGTGTTCCATGCAGTAGCATGCTCGACATAGTGACCATCCGGTGCGGCCACTGCTCTAATCTTTGGTCTGTCAACATGGCTGCTGCTGCTTTACAGTCATTCACCAATTGGCAAGATTTTCAGGTGTGCTGACAATAACTTCTCCTCCTCCTTTTTTTTTGGGTTGCTTTAGAGAAAAAAAAAGAACATTTCTAATATGGTGTGTCCAAATTTATGACGATGTAAGGTTTTCAATTCTTTATGGTCTCCGAAATGCGACTATAGCAGCCGTCATAGGACCAAAGCCTATGTGTTTTTTTGCTTTTGTGTAGGAGAGCTGGATTTTGCGGCTGAAGTTGTTATTTTGAGTCAGTTTCTGTCCACTCTCTTCAAGGCAAAAGCATCATTTTTCCCTTCCCTAGGGTTATTTTTAGCTACTGTTTCTCTTTAATATTTTGAATCTTGATTTGATTGAGGATGGATTTGAGTCAAAAGAATCGGTTCTTTCCCATGAGATCTGCGTCCTCTGTTGTGGAAACAAGTCTCAAGAAATGGAGTTTTTTCCTTCTTTTTTTGTGTTTTTTAAGATCCCAAAGAAAGAGAGAGGGCTTGGCCTTGGTTTGAAAGGACTGTCAATCTGGGCTTTATGTGCAATTATTATAATTATTATTGTTTTCTTTCCTCTCAATGTTAGCCACCATTCTATGACTGATCCAGTCACTTCAATGCCGGTTTTTTCTCTCTCCCCTAGCTCCATCCCAGAAAACATCACTTCACCTCTCTCTCTCTCTCTCTCTCTCTCTCTCTCTCTCTCTCTAAAAAGACATTGCCCACATGAAAAATGTATAAAGTATTGTCAACGCCATCCTATATGTGCTAACCTAAGACCTCTTCTTTTTGCCCCCACTTCTTTTTTCTCATTTTTCCTCAATTAGTACATATTAAGGTACCTTTTTTCTTTAGGGAAACGCCTTTTTACTTCCTCACTTGCATAACTCTATAGTGTGAAAATAATTACCCTTCTTCACCGGAGGAGTTCTTAAAGGACTCGTTAAGCTCAACTTCCAAGTTAACAATATTGCTGAAGAAATTTGTGGAAAAGAGATGTAATAGCTAAAGCAATGAGCTTTTTTTCTTTGATCTTGCACTACTAATCACAGCTAACTTATGCAATCTCTCTTCTCTCTGGAAATTTTTCTCATATAGGCTCCTAGGCAGGATTACAAGATTGACATGGGTTCATCTTCAAAAGGCAATAACAAGATCACAATGCGAGCACCATCGGCGAATGTCACCGAGCAAAGGGTTGTTAATCGACGTGAGTCTGGAATCTTTCTCCTTAGACAACCTAAACTTGGTGCTTTTCTACCAAAATTACAGACATTTCATAAAATCTCTGGATGCGAGCAATGAGGAAAAACCTGCATACTTATACAGTGTTTCTCATGAAACTTCTACTTTGAGAAATGACATTTTCATATTTCCATTTATAATGTATTTACGTTCTTTCGACCATAAGAGAAAAATTCAATTTACATAAAAAAGAAGAAGAAGAAAATGACCTCCTCTGATTATAAAACAACTACTTCGCATGTTGTGAATAATTTGTTAATAAATTTCGTTATGTGCTTGATAAATGATATAATGAAGTTATTTTTCAAAAAAAAAGAAAGATATAAAAAGTTTTGACTGGATAAAATTACAATATATATATATATATATATATATATATATATATATATATATTTATTTATTTATTTATATTTATAATGTGTGATAACTCATGAGTTGTAGCTTTCTTGGATTTGCAGCTCCCGAGAAGAGGCAGCGTGTACCTTCAGCCTATAACCAGTTCATAAAGTAATGAAACAGAAATCGCTGCACAGCATGCGCTTAAAACAATGTCCTTTTTTTTATTTTTCTTTTTCCATGATAAAAGAAGAAAGAAAGCTCTCAGCAATTATTGACATATTTGGTTATTGTCCTCTGGTCAAAATCATGGTGATGTTTTTAGAGAGGAGATTCAGAGGATCAAGGCAAGTAATCCGGACATTAGTCACAGGGAAGCATTCAGTACTGCTGCCAAAAACGTGAGTTGATTCTGATAGATTGAGTAATTCTATTTAATTTTTGTTGGGTGAAATGCTAATGCCCATATCTTTTCATTTAATTTGTTTCCTAATGATTTTTGCTATCTATACTAGTGGGCACACTTTCCCCATATTCATTTCGGGCTGATGTTAGACAACAACAATCAGGCCAAAATGGATAACGTAAGTTCCTCTCTATCATACACGAATTACTCAGTTCTTTCTACTAGCTGGCTTCACAATACATATTCAGACGTTCTTGCATTTTTTTGAAAGTTTTTGGTAGAAACTCCGTAAACAGACTGTTTCTTAGATTCTGTTTCAGTAGTATGCTGTTCAATATGATATCTATAGAGCATTATCTGCAATAGTCTGTGCCCCTCCTAAGTGCCTGTAATCTAAAAGGAGATGTTCCTTGAGCTTTGGTGCAGAAACCTTTCTGAACTTGTTTGACGTTTAATTGTTTCATTGTTGCCGCTAATTTAGTCTGGTCATAAAAATAATGTACGAAATTATTGCCTAGAATATAGATTCTAAATAGACTCGACAAATGATACCTCAAGAAACATGTGATGCCTGCGTTAGAACCCCGCAGATAGAATGCACGGACCATGTATGTTTCCAGAACTGTATTGGCTGAGCTTACACCAAACTAGTTTCAATGTATCAAACTGCATATTGTGACAGTCCAATTCATTCGAGCATGTATTTCGCCTGAAATGGCCCGTGATTGGTGCGAGTACTTTGAGGTTGCTTAACATTTAATCTTGCAATGGATATTATCATCTTGTCCATGTTAGTAACTACTAATCATCACGGTATGAATATGTGTAAAGTTTTTATTAGGAGACTTGATCATTCTATGTCCTTAATCGGCCCAATTTCTTCTCTGCAATCTCATTCATTCCTCATTTTCTTTATTTTTCAACTTCCATGCAGCATTCCGATAAGCATTTGATGTCAAGGTCGGCACTGCTAAACAAGTGAACCTGTGCTTGATTGCTCAAAGCTACCTCGTATTTCATTTGAAGATGCGAAGACTCTCTATGAAACCTTTGCTTATTATTATTATTATGTAAGAAAGGAAGGGATTATATTCCCTGACTGCAATCCTCTCAAATGCCCTTTTCTATCTTTCATGTTTATTTCACGACTGGAAGTAAAATTCAATTTCACCTCAGAAATTTGTTAGCTAAATCTTTCTCTTTTATAGTGAATGTGATTGTATGAGTGAAAAATAAGTACATTTAAGGGTTTTTTTTTACGTGAAAGAATTTTTCGCGAATTAGTTTTGACTTTCACAAGTTTGGTTTGTTGAAAATATCAAACAATGCAAAACCATTGGCGGTCAAAGAAAATGTACTTACTTAAAGTTAGGAATATCAATTCCATAACCTAAAAAGAGGATAAATTTGCCTGAAAAATGATTTCCCAAAAAGCATTTTCCTTTGTCATGAAGTTTCCCCCAAAACAAACACGCCCTAATATACGGGTTCTCTTTAGCATTACATAATTTACATTGAATGAACCCAAAAGTATTTTTTTTCTTGCAAGTATTTCTTCATGTGGGAAGAATACATTGGAAGTTCTCAATCTTTTGTACGACGCTTATAAGTTTATTGCTGTAACTTTTAATTGTTCATTTGGATACTATAACTTTCAAATTTCATTCATTTAAGTCACTCCAGTGACTTAGATCGCCTAAAATGCTAGCATGGCATTTTTTAACGATAAAGTTGTTTTTACCTAGCTTTTTGAACGTTAGCTTTTGGCAAGGAATGAATACATTTTGAAAAGCTAAGAAAATTGGATGAGCATCGTACAAAAAAATTTGAAACTTCTAATGTACTTGTCCCTAAATCCTCAGAACTGTTTAACGAAAAAGTTGTGCCAAAGTTCCCTTTTAACCAAGTTATACACCTCCTTGGCTCAAGATGATAAAAAAAGATAGATATATCACTGTATAAAATGGAAGTGATCATCAAAATGACTTTTTTTCAACTGATCGATCATAGCACAACATGCAGTTTACTTGGGCATGATTTCCAAATTAAATTGCAATCCCAAAAAGTTTAAATTGTTAAATAGAATCATTATCTAATATATTTAAATGTGCAAACCCTTGCTAACACGTTTACTGGCATGGACATTGTATTTGATAGAAGCAACTTGAAAACGAAGAGCCTGTTTGTTGCAATTTATCAGCTACTTTTGACTTTTGCTTATGACTTTCTCTCCAAATTTTGAACAAAAATATCTATGTAATTTTTAAAAATTATGAAAATATTTTTATAGTTGACAATATTTGAATATATTGAAAGGCTTTAAGTGTGTTGGATTATAAACAAATCAAAGTGTGAGTTCCGTAAAATTTTCCAAAAAGTCAAAAGTTAAATGCAGAAATCAACCAAGGTGGTATATTATTAACCGGGTAAAAGAGTTGAATTCATCCTCAATCATTTTACAGTTAGGCTCAGTTTGTTTCGCGAAAAATGAATGATTTGAAAAATATTTCCTAAAAATAATTGTTTATATCACTTGAAATAATTAGTCAATTAAAAAAGCTTTCCTTATCAACAATAATTTATGTCTAAAAATTTTCGTGAGCGATGGAAGTATTTTCCGTTCATTCATATGATACAAACGATCATTTTTTGAATTTTCCAAATCATTCATTTTTTTCTAAACAAATCGCACACTTCAGTGTAAAAGATTAAAACTAGATGAAATGAATAGCATTTGTCATTTTGGCAATTTGATCTCCAACAACGGAATGGACATCATATTTGATAACTCTGAATTTCTAGGTAAACTAGTACACTCGTATGAGTAAGTGAAAAAAAAAATAGATGTGTAAATAAAGAAAGTTATGAATCGTTTATGTTGAAGATTCACCTTCTCTCTTCTCCAATTAATCCTAGATGTTTTTAGGGGAAGTAAGCCACTAATCTCTAAAACATTATAAGGGGGGTTACTAATCTCTAGAGCGATCTAGGGTGAGTGAAACACCCTCTTGTAAAGTTATAAATAAACAAGTGCTCTCATTTGTGTATATGGAAGACGTTCTCCCAACCGATATTGCCTCAAAGAGAAGAGTGTGTTCCCAATCTTTCTCAAAAATGGTATCAGAGCTTTTGCTGTGCGCACCCAACAAGCGGTATCAGAGCTTCCGTTAAGCGCCCCCAACATATGTTTGGATGGGGGAAATAGCAATGTAAAAGAAGAGGCATGGTTAATTGAAAAGGAAAAACAAATTGACTGACTGTTTTTTTGTTATTGGGATGAAAATGAGGGGAACATAATGAAATAAAGAGAAAAGAAGGAAAAGCCACTTAAACCATGACAAACTCTCAAGTCTCTCCAAATTTGCCCCCATTTTGGAGGACCTTGATATTAACATTGACTTTGTTCTCCTTCTTCCACTCAAATCAAAGATTGTTTTCTAAGCTCTTTCCTAGAATCTCTTCTCTTCCCTCCAAATCTCCCCGTTAAAACTGGCAATAGGTTGAAAGGATATCAACGAAATCTTTGCGAAAGATATATGGAATTACACATTAATCACTTACATTATTTATTTATTTGCAAGTATTTAACAAGATTGAAGTGTGTCAACACTGTGACACATACATAGTTTTTAGTGTGGTAGCCAACTACATTCGTTGATCAGATAATATTCCCATTCCAAGACTTCCAATAACAGAATTTTTAAAGCTCATCTTTCAATTACATGTGACACTGGCTTGATCTAAAAGTAATCAGATTGGCTACATAGATTATTAGGTAAATATCACAATACATAAATGAAACATGACCATTTCCATCATCTCATTATACGGAGAGAGACTCTTAGGTACATCGAGAGCACGTCATCCATTCACCCAATGCATCATTAACTTTCGGTTTTTGTAGGCCCATGTGGGATACACACGATCCAAGAACAGGGAGGTAAATCGAAACAATGGAACTTTCCTCCAGATTGGCTACAAGAAAAAAAGGTTCGCGTTTTCCTCTGGCCACAATTGGTGGGTTATAACCATTAATATCACCTACATTTATCTTTAGCTAATTTTGCGTGCCCACCGATATACATTAGAAGACATTATAGCTCGGAAAAAGATATGGATCTTTTTTCTGTATAGTATCAATGAATGTAAGATAAGGCTGCATTTAGGTAATAATTAAGTATAGGGAAAATTACCAATTCAGTCATCAACCTATTGCATTTGTGCCAATTCAGTCCTCAACCTTTCAATTTGGCCAATTCAGTCCTAAACCTTTTGCAAACCAGCCAATTCAGTCCTTTTGGCCGGCCGGCGCTGACGTGGCCGCGGGCCGGCGCCACGTGGCAATATTTTAATATTTTTTTTTTATTATTTTCGATTTTTTTTTCTTTTCCGTCTCCCCCCTGGCCTGTTCGGCCAGGGGGGAGGCTCGCCGGCGAGGGCCCAGCTCCGGCGAGGCGAGCTGGGCCCTCACCGCCGCCGCTGGGCGAGGGCGGAGCTCGCCCAGCCAAGGCGAGCTCCGCCTCGCCGGAGCTGGGCGAGCTCGCCCAGCGAGCTGGCGAGGACCATGGCGAGCTCCGCCTCGCTAGATCTGGGCGAGGGCGGAGCTCGCCCATCCATGGCGAGCTGGGCCCTCGCCGCTCGCCCGGCTCCGACGAGGCGGAGCTCGCCCGGCCCAGGCGAGCTCCGCCCCTCGCCCGGCGACGGCGAGGCCCGGCTACGCCTCGCCGGAGCTGGGCCCTCGCCGGCGAGCCTCCCCCCTGGCCGGACAGGCCAGGGGGGAGAAGGAAAAGAAAAAAAAAGAAAAAAGAAAAAAATTATAAAATAATAATAAAAAATATTAAAATATTGCCACGTGGACGCCGGTCGACCAAAAGGACTGAATTGGCTAGTTTGCAAAAGGTTTAGGACTGAATTGGCCAAATTAAAAGGTTGAGGACTGAATTGGCACAAATGCAATAGGTTGAAGACTGAATTGCAAAAGATATGGATCTTTTTTCTGTATAGTATCAATGAATGTAAGATAAGGCTGCATTTAGGTAATAATTAAGTATATTGCCATCAATCAGAAGTATGGTTCAAGGAACCTTCGAGGAAAACATCACCAAAAGAAAAAGTACTTCGTTGTGATAGTTAAAACTTTGTTTGTTATATATAATGCAAGATTAGGTTGATTTGATGATATGAATGTCCTGTTTATTGTCTCTCTATGGTTTAGTATGGATTTTGAGTTAATTTTGCATGGAATAGAAGTTATTGTCTAAAATTTAATCAAAGCGATAACAATTAACTTTGGATTTCGATGTACGTTTTCATTACAAACCGACTAAGTTTGATTTTGACAGAAAAATAGGTCAAACCGAACTGAATCAAACCATGATGACCCTAATAGAACCCAACAATTACTTCCATTAGTTTCAGTAGCATTGGTGAATTACGTATACCACATCCAAAAGAACTTATCGATGAGGTTCAAACACGATTCTTTTTTCTCAAATAACACAGGTATCTAACTTTTAGCTCGACTCATTCTTACGGACGATCTTAAACGGAACCATCCACATGCATTAGGTAAGGTTCCACTTACAAGGTTCGAAGTGGGGGAATTATTACGTATCAACGCAGCTTTTGTTGCGCATATTATTGGCATGTGCACATGTGTGAGTACAGAAAACAAATTGAGAGAATCCTGGCCGCTTCTCAAAAGTGAAATGTAACACATGATTCTCCATATAATGAAACTGAATAAGGTTCGCAGCAAGGCTTATTCGGCTGGAGGAGTTGTCGTAGTAGGCTTATTCTCCTTCTCATGTCGTTAACACATGGAGTCGTAGGTTCTTCTTCCTTTATTCTCGCTGTCTACAAGGATTCTTGAAAAATTTGTTCACTACATATTGAATAGCGTGTACATGGATTCTGGTAAAATTACTAAGGCATGAGAAAATTAAATGATGTGAGAAAAGGGCCATGAGGTTTGTTATGCTTTTTTCTCCTCAAAGATCTCAATTGAACTTTTATTCTATCTATTTAATATATAAAAGACTTTTAAAATGGTATTTGAGGACAGAAGAGAGGTTCA